GATTTAACATCAACAAGTGAACGGAGAAGTGGCGGTTGTGGCAGGCATTGAGTCAGTTTTTAGTGGTGAACAGGACGTTGACAAAAGCCTTATACATCGTAATTGGCTTCGAAGCATAATGAGGTTCAAGTAGCAGGACCTCTTAATTAATGACCAGTATAAGGAACCTCAGTGGATGTGGAGATTAAGAAAAGTAGGTTGCTCCTCGTTGATAAAGTGGTTCACGAAAAATCGTTTACTCTATCTCATGAGGTTCTCGTAGGGAGCCGAAACAACAGATGTCAACGAGGAACTCTTCATGCAGAATGAAGGAACAAGCTAAGGTAGATATACTTTCGGAGAGGAATGTTTCTCTTTGCGATGCCGCAGCCGGTGCGTTATAGCAAAATTTTTGGTAAGCTGCGAAAGCGACGTACATCACAAACTATGTTCGTTCTATTTTAACGAACTATGGCGACAAAACCCGACGAATTATTTTTATTACTTAGTTCTTCATGTGATAAATTGAACACTATTTTGCTTACGTTCTTGGCAGTAATTCATACTTTGCTTGCGCTTAATGATATTTTATTTAAGAATGAAATATTTTCTAGCACGTTATTGCCTTTAGCGGAAAGCCACTAAATTTCGAGTGATTTGCATTGTTCCGTAAGCAGGCCCTTCTTATTATGTTGTATAATATAGTTTAATGAATTATTCTTAGGGTCAATTGTATTTCACTGAAGTTGTCATTGTAAATAACAAATTTATCGTTGTGAACAAAATTTGTATCTATATTTGTTTCTTCTATATGAATTGTTATATGGACTCTTCTGGAAAAATATCAGTGTGAAACGAACCGACACACAATGTGCTATATTTTTAGGTAGTTATATCCACATTTGGACGTACGTTTAGTTCTCACACTTTTAAATTGTAGCTTTCTTAAAGGGATAGTATGAAAAGTGCTTTGAGTGTGTGATAAAAAATTTTAATCACTTCAATTTTGGTTTAATGTGATATTGATAATTATCAGTTTTTTTAGGTGCTGTTTGACGCTAAAGGTTGCATACGGCGTTATTCGGACACCAGCGAAATCCTTAAAGAATTTTACGCAATTCGATTGAAGTTTTACGAAAGTCGCAAGAACTTCATGGAAGGTATGTTACAGGCACAGGCGGACAAACTGACCAATCAGGCACGTTTCATCGTCGAAAAGATCGATGGCATAATCAAAATCGAAAATCGTAAGAAGAAGGACATCGTGCATCAGCTTCTAGAGCGCAAATACGACCCGGACCCTGTTAAACGATGGAAAGAATCTCAAAAACGCGAGGTTTATATTATTGCTAGATTTTGCTACTATGGCATTTCTGTGTTCTAAAATGTAGTAACGCACTATGAACGTATAGGATTTCATTTTTCTAATTGTTTTCTTACCTGAAAGTTAAATTATGCACTTGGATTAGGTCAATGTCATTCTGTTCTTCGTAACTATTTTCAGTAAAGGGGGAAAATATTTTTTTACCTTTATTTTTATCAAACATTTTCAATATTCGATCTTTTTGTGTTAGAGATGTTAGTGCGTATTAATGCCCTAATTCCGCATATTCAGTCTTTCTGTGCCTAAATGCTTTGGTCATTACTATTCATTATTTTATACGACCTATGCTTCTACCATTGAAAACTTGTTACCGAATACGCATGGATGTCGCAACTTTCTGGCATTCGACAAATCAAGTACATGGGCTAAAACTGTAGCTCATTTTATTGCACAGCCGTAAGAGTATTTTGGCTATCGTACTTATCAATTTGGCATGAAGCTTTCTGAAATCAACTGCTTAAGCTTCTTATACATACTAGTTTTTGTCTCAGGGACTGCTGGAAGAGGAGAACAACGCGAATGAAGAAAGCATTGTTGGTGAAGAATCAGATGCCGCTGACCTTACTACGAAACTGAGTGACTTCGATTACCTGC